CCAATCTTTATTCACAGAGAAATCTGAACTAATGCAGAATTTTTTTTTTGTAATTTGACTTTGTTTCTATCTTAATGTTGAAATTTGGAACTGTTGTCAAGCATTTCCCATGAGGTAGACTACCAAAGACAGCTATAAAGAACACAAAAAAGTAGTAGGGTATTTCTGCCAGAATCCCAGACAACTTGAGAACAAGGGATGCCTAGGACAAAATTAAGTCTGGATGAGGATGAACACTATCTAGTGGTAAATTACAGTTGGTTTTACCTTCTATATAGTCCTCTGCAATGTAGCTATGCTCATGCAGTATTTCCTCCATGCGACTGAGAGTGATGGCAGCAAAATGTCCTGGGTATTTCAGCTGAAGGAGGCGCTGCAGATATACAGCTGCTTGACACCCTCCAAGATTAATACGTTTGCAGTTTTTAGCATCCAAACTAAAGATGCAAAGAGACACAACTGAGATTGGAGAGATCCACAAGTTCAGTGTAAAGCAGACCTCCTACTGTCCCCAGTATTATTTAATTTCTGATATGGTCAAGTAGACAGATGAATATTCACAGATTAGTATTTCATGATTCAGTTAGATTCAGAAAATCTAACACACCTTTTCTCAAACAACAAGCATAATCACTGCTTTGTTTACTGCAGATACTTCCTGAAAGGCTCTGTTGTGCTTTAAAAACCCCATACATTGAGTAATTTTTACTACAGCAAGAAAATGTTCTATTTTAAGAAGGGAAGTGATGGTTTGTGGAGCTAAAAGTAGTTCCTTTAACCTTTGTAACATTTCACAGTTGGTCAGGTGTAACCCTCAAAAATGGTAAGCATCTACTAGACAAAAGGCCATTTCCTACAGAAATTAAAAAAAAAAAAAAAAAAGAAAAAAAAAGAAAAAAAAAAGGAGTAGAGCAACATAGCAGCATAATCAGAATGACAGAAGCCTCAGGAACTGCAGGAATCTCAGAGAACACTTTCTTTTGTCCCAAGGCTGCTTTAAAACCTATGTTTTTTAATGCTTGATCTTACTTGGGGCAGATATTCCCTTCTACTTTTGAAAGTACAGATCTATGCATGAATAGTAACTAAAAATACAAGATGTACAAGGACAGCACTGCTTCTTCAATTCAAAATTCAACAGAACTTAGCAAAATCTGCAGACCTAGTTTTAACTCTGTATAAATTAAGACCCAATAAGAGCTGATACTGCAGGAGCTGGAATACTGAATGCTAGAGGAATGGGCATTTGCATCACTAAAAAGTCAATGACTGACAAAGAGAGGTTGCACCACACTTAACAAGAACTCACCTGCCTTCTAAGACTGGCAAAATGTGTGTACACTGATAACCTGAAGATATTACCAAGCCACTGCAGGGCCAGTTCTGCCTCCTGTTGTGGTAAAAACTGTACAAGCTATCGACACCATAGGACACTTTTGGCACTTGATAACATTCGAAGAGAAGCTCTGACATCATTTGTCTCGAATACAGAGGATTGCACACAGCTTCTGTCAAAACAATTGGATGATCAACACAACCCTGTAAGAGACAAGAGAAAAGAAAAATAATAAAATTAGAAAGGGAAAATCCAGGGATACTGATCCTTGCTTCTTCTTTTGAACATCAGCAAGAACTCCTCCAAAACAGAACTGAGAAGGCACTTCATGTGCAGGCTATTAGTCACATAAGCTAAATTATATCTAGCGCTTATGGGGGTAAAAAATAAGTCTTGTTTACAGCAGGGCTTCCAATGTTAGTTCAACCAAAGAATTAAACTCCTAAGAATGGAGGAGAATGGATTTTTAAAAGCATATACAAAATATTAAAAGTCCAAATAATCAAAATCTATGCAATGAAGACGTGAAACGAGAGTGAAAACTGCTAGAAGTTTAGTTAGGCATTAGGTAAAGCTTTCAAACTGGTGGTGTCACACAGGCAAAAGGCTTCATGGCCTGAGAAGCAACTCTCAACTCAGCTGAATGTTTAATGTCCTGCTCAAAAACTGATCCTGAACGCTGGCACTTGGCAACAGCCTGCTAAAATGCCGCAGTCCAAACCTCTAGCCCTGCAGCTTCATCCTCCTACTTTCGCTTCACCACACAACCATTTAGAAATTAAGAGAATAACGGGGTTCAAATGACACCCCTGGGGAGCCCCTGGCCCTGCCCGGGTCGACACAGCAAGTTGCTCAGGGCCTGTCCACCACGCCGAGGGGGACAACACGATGTCCTGGAACAACGCAAGGCGACGCTGCGGCCGCCCCATTCCCGCTTCGCACCCAGGCACAGCCCCCCTTGCCCCCCCCACCCCTGCGGGGCCGGGCCTGGTTTCCCCGGCGGCTTCAGGGCCTCACGCCGTCCCCGCCCGGCAGTACCTGCGAGGCGACGCCGAGGCGCTGGAAGACGTGGTCGAGGAGCAGCTCCTGTAGCTCCAGCTGGACGGGCACGTTGCGGTCGAAGGGCGAGCGGAGCAGCCAGCGCAGCGGCTCGGGGCTCCCCAGGTCGTTGCCCACCTGCGTCTCGGCGCCGGCCCCGCCGCGGGCGCCGCGGCTGCGCGCCGCCAGCGAGCGGAACCGCAGCAGGGGCTCGGCGGGGACGGCGGGGTCGGGGGAGGCCCAGCCCGCCCGCGTCTGGAAGGAGCCGTTGTCGATCACCAGCGGCACCGGCTGCGGCGTCCGCACGGCCGCGCTCGGCTCCAGCACCGGGTCGGGGGCCCAGCGAGCGTCGCGGAAGGCGAACACCCGCCCCGCCGCCGCCGCCATTTTGCGCCCGCCCCGGCTCCCTCCGGGCGGGAACGCGGGCACCGAGTCGCTGTTCCGGGCCGAGCCGCGGCGGCCCGCCCGCCCCCTTCCCTGCAGGTGCCCCCTCACGCAGGTGTTACCGGGAGGCGGTAGTTAGTTCACTCTCTCAGACGCAATTTCGCAGTTTTAGAAAGCAGGCATTCTTTGTTACGGCACCGGACACACAGGGGATATAGCTCCTCCTAATGTGTGTGTGAGGACAAAATCAACGAGTATGTATACTACCTTAAACATACATATTCGTTACGTTTTTACTATACTGTTTTTATCATACTCATAACTTTTCCGGGAATTCATTAGCATACATTAATGTCTCTTGCGCATGTCTGTTGGAGTCTTCAGGTGGTTGTCAGGGGTCTTTAGATGAAGGCTCATAGTCTTCACTTTGCCCACCAGTTGACCCTTCTGCGCAAACTCAGCCCTGGGGTTACATAGATCTTGTCCTTCAAGGCTGGCCTGGTCTGGTTTTGTTGCTAATTTGCAGTTTCCTTATCTTTACGTTTCTTTGCACCTACTAATACGAGGCCGAACTGTCTCAAGTAAGATTATTTATGAGTTCCTTATCCTGCAGTTATTCTAACTATTCCTCAAAAGATTAGTATTTGTTCTGCAGCACAATGGTTAAATGGTTAAAACAGCTTAAATTGATCTTAATAATTCTATTCCACAAATATCTCTTTTCTAATCATCTTAGTTCACAGGTACCACAGGGACACCCGTGCCCTCTGCCTCTCAGACTTAAACTTGGGATCTTGAAGCCTCCCCAGTGTCAGTGACCCCCGTGGAAGTAAAAACCCACGGCCCCGGCCTGTGTCGGACCGTCCCGGCAGGTCACAGACACGGCGTGTGCTTCCCCGCAGCCTTGTCAGTGTTCGGGGTGCACATCTCCCTGCCGAAAAAGAGGGGTGCGAGCCATGGCTGTGACGTCCTCGCCTATTCCACGGGCACCCATCGGATCCGTGCCCTGCACTGTGGAGATGGGCACGCAGGTGGGAGCCGTCCTGCCACGGCTGCTCCCCAAACCTAGCCGCCAGCCCAGCTCGGCGGAGAGCCAGGGTGGGCCCCGAGAGGTCTCAGCGACTGAGAAACACTTTACCATTAAAACTGAAGAGGTCACAGCTTCTGGATTCTGCTTGGTCACTCCTGTCACTGCATTTGTAGACAAACCACCAACAGTCTGATTTTCAGAAATGCCACCAACCTGCAACCCCTGCTGTGTGAAATGGGGCTGCAAACATTTAGCATCCTTGAAGCTCAGGTCATTAATGGCTTTTCTTACTTGCTTACCCAATGCACAAAGTAGGGATAATAGCTTTCTTTTATCACACAGGGGTGTTATTAACGTGAATTAATAAGAAATTGCAAAGTTCATTTAGATCTTGGGATTAAAAGGATCATTTCAAGGGGCTGTTACTACATAAACACATGCACATAAGCAAGAATGTTCATGCAATTGTTCATAATGTGCACTTACATAGCTGCTCTCTTCTAAGGTTTACTGAGAGGTATATGAACACTTAATTTAACCAAACAACCCCCTGTGAGGGAAGCAGTAGATAATGTTTTTGTTTTATTGAAGGAGAAACACACAGTGTGATGAATATCAAGTTACCGAAGTCACATATCCATTCCTACTTTGATCACTACTGAACTCCTTTACTATTAAGAAATACATTTAGACACACATCCTATTGAACATGCTATCTTGCCTTTCTTGGAGGGGAGGTAGAAAGGCAATTAAAATACAAAGGTTTATTTTACTAATGGATTAACTAACAGATGGAAACATAGACAGTAGGCTAACAGTAGAGTCCCTGTTAATATGGAACATACTTGTGCTCCATGTCAAATCGGAGAGCCTGGTAGAAGTAATTTTTAGCTAATCATCCTCTATACATCTCTGCAGGGTTGATTCTGTTTTACAGATTTCTCAAAAGCAACTTTGGCTACCTAGCTTCAAAGTGGCTGAAGTGCTAGGTTATCTCCCCTATAGAAGACATATACATACCTTTAACTACTATTTTAACATAAGCTTTGAAAGCTTCCTGACTTGTATTTATGCTTTAAATAACAGCTAAAGGAAAGACAATCAAATCAGATGTTTTCTCAGTTGTTCTTATCCCGTATTTAATCCTTATTACTCCCTCCCTACAAGCACTGGGCTGTCCCTTTTGCTAACCATTCTGAGCATATCAGCTGTCTTGTGATTAACAGTGATGCAACAAGAGTTATTAAAAGGTAGTTAGCAAAGCAGAGCAGGCAAGCTGTTCTAAACTTAGTGTAACCTGAAGCAAGCAATGAAGTATCCTCTGGTTCCTTTGGTGAATGATCTGACCTTTCCTCTTCTTTTCTTCTGGTTTTGTTTGCCATTTGTAATGCTGTTGATCATACTGATTATCTGGCTACAGCTTCTACTTAATGAAGGTAAGTTATGCAGTTGATGAGATAAAATGCTCCTGCATAAAGGCTTTATCTTTAAAGCACTCTGCTAGCTATTTTAGGCTAATGCCACTTGTCACAGAAGGAAACTAAAGGAGATTTTAGTACTGTTGGTAGCATATGGAAAACTAAACCTAAATTATTATGCTTTTCTGTTAAATATGCTTATAAGATGTCAAGCTGCTGCCTGCTGTTCTTCTTTACCCCCTTCCTTTTTCTCAGAGGTAATTTATTTAGGAAAGGCAAAGGACAGGTAATTTTTGTAAATTTTTATTTAAAAATCCCTCAGAAAGCAAACCTAACCCTCTAATTCTGTACACCTTCAAACTCCAGTATTATAGTTCTTTTACACTTTCTTTTGAGGGGTGGTGGTGGTGTTACAGGGTGAGCTGCTAAGGAATTCTTTTATCAATGCTGAGGCTGACAGAAAATTTTTGAAGGAACAGGACGTGCATTTTCGTTTATTTGTGTATTTTGCTCCTCTTTCAAATCCATCTCTGATTGCTATTTCTAACATGTCAGTACCTGACAACAGGCTTTGGTTTAGGCTAATAATAGGCTTGTTGATCTACTCCTGAGGATAAAGCCTTGCTAGTTTGCTGTAATGCTGGAGCATAAGCAATCCCGGCTGAAGAATCAATCGTAAGTTCAAAAGCAGTAATTCTGCCTTTGCAGAACAGCTGTAGGAAAGAAAATAAGAACAAAATTTTACTGCAGCAAGCTTTTACTTCTGTTTGGTGCCCTCAGTTCTCACCTAATATTGTGGTTGCCAGTCCTATAATCGATCCCATAGGAATAACAACGAGACAATACCCACAGAGGGCAAAGGAGCAGGAGATACTTACCACAGCACACGCTTGCATTTCCCCCTCCTTTCCCGTCCTGCACATGTGTGCACACTGAATTTTTAACTTTCAGCTCCCATTGTGCATTCTTGGCACACAGCTAAGCTCATAACAGCCTCTGCATGCTTCAGTAGTACAGTATCTTCCCTCCGCACACTCAAGTGCGCTCTTGTGGGTAACAGCACAGTAATTACGAAGAGCAGGTTGTAACAATTACACAAGCCACCCTGAGAAGCATAGGCACAGCTTACTGCTGCAGTCTGAAAACCAGAATAAAAAAGGTATTTTGCATAGGTAAAAGGTAGCTGTGCCACATACCCTGAGTGTCAGCTTTTTGCCTGAAGAGATTACCTATGGAATCTCTTGATGCTTTGAATGAGATTTTCAGGTTATGCTTATTTCATTTACCTTCACAATTTCCAGCCCTATAATGACTGTTATCAGCACCAGGCCTTTAACAATATCTACAAATGCTCTAAATTTCCTTTTAATGAGTAAGACTAGACACATTACTAAATTTTTACATACTAGTGTGTTTATAGGATTAGGACATCAAAGTGTTTCTCAAACTCTTAAGAGGAAAAAAAAATTTTAACTAGCTCTTTTAAACAACTTCCTAACTAATTTAGTCACATCCCCATATTTTAGGCTAGTTTACAGTAGGCACAGGTAAAAAATAGTGTGTGTTTCAGCTCCTCCTTTAATATAGTCGTTGATTAAGAGCTAATTGGTTAAAATCAAACACTTGTGCAGGCCTCTTATTGCCTACTTGGGTTTGGAAATCCTTTATTTCAGCTAAAAAAGATTCAGAAGAACCTTATCTAGCTCCTAGATGGAACATGCAAGGCTTGTAGCTAGGGAGAAGTAATCATGTATGGGTATTTTACATGTTCTTTTAAAACTTCTTTCTAGCACAGATGACCAGTGCAGAAGAAATAACAAAACAACCTTCTGATGACCCTGATTCTGACTCTAAATTTGAGGATGAACCAACAGAGGAAGAAAAACAGTCCAGGACAAAAATACAAGAGGAGATGGAATCCAATGGATCTATGGGAAAACTAAGGCCCAAGCCAGTTTATCTGCGTCCAAATCCAAAAAGTCAAAACCAAAGTCTTTTTGCTGTAATCTCAGACAGCTGGTTGCGGAGCCAGAAGATAAAATACTCCCATGCTGAGCAGAGTGATTTCTTTAACATCACGATGGTGAGTAGTGTGACCAGATTACCTCTTTGCATATCTACTGCTTTTGTGCCTAAGACCTGGGTTTTTTTTAGTCATCTCTGCCTGACTCTCTGCCTCTTGGGTAAGAGAAAGCTGCAAGATTGGTTTCTGCTTGGTTAATGACTAACAAAAGATATTTTTCTGTGTTTCTTATTTGGAGTGACTCCTGTTGTAGACAAGGTAAAGGTAACACAAAATTGTACAGAATAGCTATCACGTATGTGTACTGTATAAATGTGTGTGTGTGTATATATATAAAGGTAGGTATACATGTTTTAGAAGTCCTTGATAATTGCATGTGAAACAATAGAAATTTCTAACTATTCCTCCAAGATAAGAAGTTTATCTCAAATGTATATAGAAACTCTCCTGGTAGGTATGGTTGATATTTTTCAAAAAGCTGCTTCAGATTTCCTATAGTGGAGTATGCGACTAAAAATTAAACGTATTTCACTTGCTTGATAAGAGCTGAAGCCAGAAGTCGCTTTGCAAGCACGGCAGTCCCAATCCTTTTAGGCTTTATACAAATCCCAAAAGATATATTCCAAAGCAGGGGAAGAGCTTAGTATCTTGTGTGTCTTCTCTTTCCCTGTGCCTTGACTGTATGTTCCTTTGCAGACGGGGCTCAGAAGGGAAAGCTGGTCTGTGCTTCCACTGGCACTATTCACAGTCCTGTCTGTTCACTCATTTACATTGCTGGGAGTTTTGAACTGCAGCAGCTGAGGTACTCACATTTGCCTCCACTAGTTTTGCTGTAGCCAGTAACCTTTGTTAGGCTAGAATGGCTAACTACTAGTATCATCTGAAATTGCTGTAGTTGTTTGACTAGCACACCCTGAAGCTGAGCTTTAACGTGGAAATAGTAATACCTCAAATCAAAGCATTTTTGACATTGTTAACACCACCAGGTCAGTGTAGTAATTTTTTTTTTTTTTTTAATTGTTGTTGTTCAAAGGCTAGAGAAACAGTGCTAAGAATCAGCTTGGACTTGTCTAAGGTACCATTTGGCTCTCCTAGAGCTCTTATACAAGTATTGATTTGAACACAGCAGTTTGAAGAACTGGGGTTTAAACCTGTCTCTTCTAGGACTTAATACTCATACTGAAAGGCTTGCTAGTTGTGTTAGATGGATGAGAGAGGAGAACAAGCACTCATAGTCTCAAATCATTTATAACCTACTGAAAATTGAAACTCTTTTGAAAACACGATTGCCATGACAATTCTGTTCTTCCTTTTCTTCATCAGCTGTTGTGCACCATTCTTTCTTCTCTCACCTGGAACTTTGCCTGCCAGTTGCTCCAGATCTCTAATGTCCTGAGGATTCAACTGCTGCTATCCTGTCTGATTATCTACATGCCTCAGCTGTTTGTCTTGCTGAGTGAAAAAGTTGTGAAAATCCTGGGCTCCCTGAAGCTTGAAGAGCAGAGGTCTGTTGGCTTCAGTCTTGGGGAGGAAACTGGAAAAGAGTGGTGAAGCTCAGAGAACCACCTCACGGTGAAATAAAGCAGGTAGCCCCACAACCATCAGCAGCAATACTGCTCAGCATTGGTGAGAGCTACTGCAGCATGGCAGAGACGTTAATTCTCTGAAAAGGAAACTTACTCAAGCCTAAGTCAATGTGCAGTCGGGTCACAGCAGCTACTTTCAGAGTGAACTGTATCGACTGGCTAGGTATTATTTAGATGACAGCAGCCAGCCTCTTGTCTGGCACTTGGGTACCACCTACTCTGCTCCCCTCCCACTTTACAGAGGGATGAGTTTCTTTTTTATAAGGATCAAGCACCACACTGGCACCAGTGATACTCTCTGTTCACCACTACTGCTCTGATTTCAAACAAATAAGATCAAGGCAATAGCTCTCAGTAATGCTTCTTACTGGAGCTTAAATGCAGTATAGCCTGGTGATTATTTTGCCCATACTGCAACTAGCACCCTTCTGATCTCCCACTTGTCAGTTGTCAGTGTAGGAAACAATCCCACCTCCCATTAACAAGCAATAATTAACCCCTCAGCAGATCTTGAGTATACATTTCCTTAATTTGTGTTCAGGATGCGCTTTTTCAGCACAGCTGCCAGGCTGATACAAGGTTAGATTATGGTCCAAAGTGGCCAGCTGGTGAGACTGGGATGAGACATAATTTTGTGGCCTAAGGGTTTATCCGATTGTCAGGCTATGAGCAGAACAGCTGTTTGCTCCTAGTGTTGATGCACACATTCAACAAACTCCTTTTTAAGAGGACCTGAATTAGGAAGTCCCATCCCAAAGAGCACATTGCTGCTTGTGGAAAAGGTTTGTCTCTGCTCCTCGTGGGAAGTAGCTGTGTCTTGTACGTGCATGCTGCGGAACATTTGCCACCAGCCTTCACTAATTATGAACCATGCCTTGTTTATGTTGTTTTTCCTCCTCAACCCCTGAACTCCACATGTCTAAATATTTGTCCAGAGCAGTATGCTCTTAAATAAAACTTGTTTGTCCACGCCTTTATTTTTGCAGGTTCTTTACTTAGAAAAAATATATTTGCCGTTCCTCAGCTGTTTGCAGAGCGAAAACTCCATCTCCCCTTTCCCCCCCCGCCCCGAGGGTGACGCGGGGCTGGGGCGCTTCTCCCGGGGGGCCCCTTTGGGCCTGTTCCCCGCCTGCCAGCGGGGGTGAGGTGCTGAGGGACCGCGCACGGCGGCTGCTGTTGGCGGGGGGGGGGCAGCGGTCCCGCGTGGGGCCCGCCCGGCCCCGCCTCTCCCGGAGCCCGCGCAGGGGCCGGGCCGAGCCCCGGGGCTGCCCCCGCCTGCGCGGCGCGGAGGGCCGCGGGCACTGCGCCTCGGCTCGGCGCGGAGCCAGGCCCGCGGGCTGGCGGGCGGCCGTCGGGAGAGGCCCCGCCTGCCCTCCGCGGCTCGGGCGGTGCTGAGGGCCGCGCAGGTAGGCTGGTGCTCGGGGGGTTGGGCGGGGAGGAGGGCGGCTCGGCCGTGGGCTTGCTGTCGCTTCAGCTGCCCTAACGGGGTTCAGCGCTAAACTGCTGCTTTCCCGGCAGATTCTGGCTTCTCCACCGGGGAGCGGGGTTATTGTTTCAGCTGCAGCCCCCTCGCTCACATCTCAAAGCTGCCTTCCCTGAGCCACCGAGAAGAATGTTTTCTGGTAGTCGTAAGGTTTTTCTCTTTTCCACCTCCTCTATGTGCACTTAAAAACACGTTGGCGAGAAGGACTTAATCTTGCAGCTGAGTTGCCGAGGATGCCTCCCGTCTCTGTGGGATTTCACTTGTTTAGGCTACTTGAATATGTTGGGCTCTCTGTTAATCTCAGTTCACTAAGAAACCATATTATCTTGAGGCAGTTGCCAAAATGCTATAATTCAAGTTAAAAATGTTTTACTGGGATCGTCACTGCAAAGAAGTAGATGAACTGAGGTGGGTAGGTGAACTGTCTAAAGGTCTACTAGATTATTGCTGCTTCTTGTGGTGCCTCGTGATGTTTTAAAGCCTGGTAATACTAAAGTATATGCTTTGAGTGGTTTTTAGTCTATGTAAATATGCTCGGAATAGATTTAGCTTGGCTGGGCTGGCTGTTGCTTGCAATGTCACTGGAATAGCAGGGGGGTTGGTGCCAGCATGCAAAACCTGCTTGAGAAACCTACTCTGAGGATTACTAGGTCCTGCGGAGTTCCCCAGTGCCACAGCTATGCTGATGGCAGTAGTGGTTTATACCTGGTTTTCCTGTCTCTGAGCTACGACAAATAACGCACGACTAAATATTTGTCTGTTAAGAATAAAACTTTTATGTGTGGATTTGGCTAAAAACAGTATGGAAAGGCCATTTGGGCTCTGCTGTGGGTCTGTGCTTCTTGCAAGAGGTTGGTGATGTGTGAACCTGACGTGGAGAATGTGCCCAGACCTACAGACGTGGGGGGGACTCATTTTGAATCCTGTAGACTTCATGTTGTGCTCCGTCTTTGTTAAAATAATTTTTTTCCTGAATCTAGCTGTAATGCCTGCTGCCGTGCCTATCTCTGTGGAGCATTTGAAGTTCGCATTGTGAAAGTAGCACGGCCTCTCCGCTGCCTTGTAGTCTGCAAGCACTTGAATAGCATCAGTGAATTTGTGGTTTAATTTCCCATTTGCTGTTGTGTGCAAAAGCAGTTTTCTGGGCATCAGCAAGAGTATTAGAGCTTGCAGACTTGGATATTGTAGTAGAACTCCTTCCAATGTGATTGTTTGCAGTGATTGCAAATAGATTTTTTTTTTTTTAATGAAGGTTTTTCTGCAGTTTTGGATTTAATTCACCAACACGGTCTCTTGTTCACCTGGGGCAAAGCATCATTCCTCGTATGCACCTCCATCCCAGGGTGCTTCTATATTGTAGCAAGCATATAGTTTTCTTAGCTGCAAAAGTTTGATACTAAAACCTGGACTGAACACTTTGGACCACAGCATTAGTGGTAGTTTCTTTTGGCTGAGGTTAAGCCTCCTGAGAGACAGAAGCCTGCACTTCTGTGTACCAAACTGTACCGTAGATGTTTTATGACCTTTTTGCACATCACTTAATCTCTCTTTTTTTTCCCCTGACTTATTTGTAAAGCATTCACTTTGCAGGCATGTTACAGGGGTGGGGTTTGTTAAACATTTGAGAAATGTAGATAACTGGTTTCTTTCTCCTCTGAGCTCAGAACTCTGGAAGAAATTCGTAAAAGACCCAAACTCTAGTGTAAACTCAAGTGACCTAATGTGTTTTGATGGATTTAAGTGATGAACATGTCTGAAAGAAGTATGTAACAGCATTTCGGGATAAAGTCTTGCAGCATGTTGGGATCTCTAACTTGTTAGCGGGGCCTCTTTTGGTAATAGCTGGGTGAGCTGGGGCTGTTTACATCCTTCTCCTGGAGGAGTCATGGGATGATTTAACTTGGCCAACATCTGTTTTTAGTAAAGAGGAATCGGGGTTCTTGGGTCCAGCTGCACGTAGAAAAATAATGCTGAAGATTTGGCTCACGGTCCCTTGTGCCCCAAGAGGGCGCAATGGCAGCAGCACAGCTCTTGGTTTAATCAAGACATGGTTTTTGAGATGGTGTTTTTGATGTTTAAAGGAAGAACCTGTAAATGTTGTTTTCCAGTTCACAGCATCTTTGATTAGTTGGATGGAGAATCATGTCACTTGCCAAAGCTTTGTAAATTGAAACAGGTGAGGGTCCAGCTTGACTTAAGGAAAACATCACTCCCTGCAAGTACAGAGGACTGTTGAAATGGGGGCCCACAGAGGTTGTGGCACCTCAGCCCTTTACAAGACCCAACTGGCCGAAGCCCTCAGCACCCATTTGGGTTCTGTTTTGAGCCAGCTTTAAGCAGGAGGTTGAGTGAGGTGGTGACCTGAGGAGCCTTTCACATGTGCTCATGAAGGTGTGTGTAAACTGCTCTGGGGAGAAGTGCCCCTCTCTGTCTGTAGGGATCAAAGAACCCCCCTGCCCCCTTAATGCCTCATTAAAAATCACTGTGAGACTTGCACTGGAGTCTTCTGCTTTAGCTGGGTGAGGAGGGCACTAAAGGTTACAAGAGTATGTGCTATACACTCTTAGGCTCTTTTTATCCCTTAAAAGTTAGAGGCCACAATGCATGACCTGGAATAAAGTATATTCTAGCTTTGCATGTCTTTTAGGCTCTGAGTTCAGCAAAATGTTTGCTTAATTGGGGATGTTATGGCCAATATGCATCTATTCCAAGCAGTTTAAGTGCTTTCAGTTGGAGACATAAAAATGTCTTAGTTGTGACATGGTGTTTGAGCCTTCCTGCTGCAGATGTAAAATCCATATGGCAGTGTCTTAATTGAAACCTGCTGGAGTTATTTTTCTCCTGCATCACATTATATGAAATATTCTTTATGCAGCTGGCTTGAAAGGACTACCTTTAATTAGATATTTCTAATCAATTAGTGCTATTCCTTTCTGTAGTCCTGTTCCTTTCTAAGAAACATGATTTTGAATTATATAAGGCACTTCAATTTGACATTCTGCATATCACCTTATATGGCCTGTATGATGTATTCATTATTTTATGCCATGAATTTTATGCACAAGTCATTCACCGCAGCATTGTTAATCATGTGGGTAAGTCTTTCCAGGTGTGTTGCAGAGTGAAAAGCTTGTCTGAAATCAACTTGTTAGCTAAAAAGTTAGGTCTCTAAATGATTTTAGATTCAGATGTCTGTAATACTTTCCGGTATTTGTTGCTGTTTGGTAAGACCGTTAGGTCAGTTAGCAGGGGAGTATGTTTTGTGATTGCAAAGATGTCTGGAGAAAGAAATACAAAAGCTGATGTAGCTTAAAGCATATTCCCCAAAGTAGATTACTCCAAGAGTCTGGAATGTGTCGGTGGGAGGCTTCAGTTTTAGCGAGATGTTGCTCCATGCATGCAGGAGTCCTTCCACCCCTAAATAATTGTTTCCATCTGCATAGCTTATTCCATCAGCCCCAGGGCTTCTAGTGCCTGGATCG